AAATTAATTTTATTCAATTAAATAAATTAATTCCGTTTTAAAAACGGAATTAAAATGATTGCTTTTAAATGTAACTTTTAAATTGCATTTTGAGAAGAATTGCCAACTGCTTGTCTTGCACATTTAATGATAGATATAAATGAATATAACTGAAAATAACGGAATGAACACATCTGAACAGATCTGTCGATTGGGTATTGAAAAAAAAAAAAAAAAAAAAATTTTTTCATGAAAATTCTTAGCTTGGGTGTGTTGCTGCTGTCAAGCCTCTGGTAAATAAATAAATAAATAAATAAACACACAAACAAACAAACATTGTGAGTTGCAAGTCACAATGCCAGGTATGCGATTCTGCTCACAAGTGTAATGTGCGGAGATCAGTGCTGATGTTTTTGCACATTACTGTATGTATGCAATACATGACAAACTTACAAACATCTGCATTATGCCTACCCATTTTTATGTTAAAATGTGTTATGCTCACCATGCTTAAAATAAATTTAGATTTTCCTAAAATATTATATTATTTTCTAAATAATTTGTAATACTAAAGAAATTGTTAATGATCTAACTAGATCCCCAAAATTACAAAATCAAATACAACTCTACATTCTGTATCACTTAAAATGCATTACAGAAGTTCAATAAATGAATAATACAAATTCATGAAGCAGTTGTCAGACGTGTAGAGCTGCACGATTCTGGATAAATTGAGAATCACGATTTTTTTTCTCAAATAGAGACCACGATTCTCCCACGATTCTGAACTAAACAATGTGTGGCAAAATATTATTGCTGCAGTCTATTTAAAAGTGTTTAATTAATTTGAATGAATTATTAAACATTTTAATATACACTACCAGCCAAAAGATTGAACAGTAAGATTTTTAATGTTTTTTAAAGAATTCTCTTCTGCTCACTTCCTGCTTCCTTTATAGAGTCACCCAATCTATTAATTTCCCGTATTTAAATTAACATTCAGTCAAGTGGCAAAAAGCAAAAAGGTGCAAGAAACCCATGCAATAGAAATTATACCCGTGACCCCTCAAATGAAAAAACAGACACCCTAATGTGGGTAAAATAAAAGGCATGTAGAGATCTGCCCCTTGAACACACTCTGCAGTAATGCTTCCTCTCATCTACCATTTGGCAGTGTCTGTCTGCGTGTCGGTCTGTGTGTGTGCGCACAAATAAGCGAATATGTGGCAGAAGGGAGCAAACATCTCATGCAGCAGTGAGACTCCATAATGAATCTGTTCAGCGGTTCCCGTGGGACGGCTCTCATCCGCCGAGCACATGGAGCGAGCGCAGGCCGTGCATATATATAGAGCTCCAATTACTGCGGACAAATCCCTGCACACAGAACTCTAATCAACTGGAGATCTGCTGGAGAGAACGGAGCTCTAATGACTGAATTTCAAGCTAAAGATCAAGACCCTGCATTAAAACTCAACTAGATAACACGAACCGGCTCAAAGAGCAGCGCAAACACAGCGCAAAGCTGTTTGATCCTAGAGCTGGTGAACAAACAGATAAAGCGGAGAATATCAATCAACATTTCCTGGATCCGCTGGATGCGGAAACGGTTAATTTCTGATTCATAATTCAAGGGAGTTAAAACATAAGGTAGGAAATGCACGTCATCTCCCGACACTAACTAACTGTGAATCAACCAGGTTAAGGCCCGAGACTTTAGCAAAAGTGCAATAAAACCAAAGAAGGATTTTTTTTTTTTGAAAGAAATTAACACTTTTATTCAGTGAGGATGCATTAAACGGATTAGAAGTGACAGTAAAAACATTTATAACGTTACAAACGTTTCCATTTCAAATAAATGCTGTTCTTTCAAACGTTCTATTAAAAAAATACCATTGTTTGAAAAAAAAAAAAAAAAAATTAAGAAACATACTGATTGTAGTAATGGCTGATAAAAATAAGCTGTCAACACTTGAATCAATTAAAATTTTGCAAAGAAATTAATGTTAAATTGCAATAATATTACACAATATTCGTGTTTTACTCTATTTTTATCAAATTAATGCAGCCTTTCTGAATATAACAGACCTTTCATAAACATAAAAAAAAGAAAAAAAATTACTGCACAGCATTGTATGTTGCATGTATGGTCTTAAAATTACAAAACAACTTTTAGACAGTCATATCTAGCTGTAGCAAAACTAATAAGTCTACATCAACTAGATGATAAAAATTCTAAAATCAATAGAAACGGCAATGAATTTCATTATCAACTAGTCAGTACACTTTTACATTTTACTGTTATATTCTTATAAAGTGAGCATTTCAATTTTGCAAAACCACAGGCAAGTGATTTAGCATGGAATTAAAGCACAATCATTTTAAACAACTAAATTTAGTTATCACACAAACACACGCAAAAAACGTAAAAAAAAAAAAAAAAAAAAAGTTTAGCTTGATGTACTAAAATAACCCTGAAAAAATACATACTCGAATTATATAGACATATAAATAAATAACGATGACAAAAATCCAACTATAAGTGAAATATCATTAAAAACTACAATAGTATCTCAATGATACAAAAGAAACACTGTGCAAAATATCCAATTAATGGAAGACATTATGAAAAATAATTGATCAACCACTAATTGAAAGACTGTAAACCTTATTTCAGGTGTGTGTACCAGTGACTTACCTGATAGTAGTACCTGAGCACCCAGCACAGGCCCTCCACGTACGACTGCACCACTTTCTTACGAAACTCATCGTCCGTTGCGTCCACATCAAATTTGGTTTTGTAGTAACGCTGTTTCCAGCCCTCTTCCCATAACCTGTGAAACACATTTACAACCCAGTCACAGATACATACACCTCTCAGTTTGTAGTTTTCTCCAAAGATAGGCCTGAATTCATTAAAACGAGACCAAGCTCTCCGGTGCCAAACCCAAGCGGGTTCACTTATATGCATATGCACGCCTATGAGAATTTCCCACTTTGACGGGCTCCATTAAGAGGTGACGGGAAACTTGTTTTCATCCTTAGCGCTGGTCAGGATGTTTTAACATGCTCTGGAAATGCAGCTCACATAATCAAGGATGAGCTGCATCTGTCTAGTGTAACCTCTACAGCGTCCCACATGGGACACGGAAAACCTCCATGAATACCAATTGAACTCAATCGATTTAGACCGCGTTGGAAAGCTAATCACTGAAACATTTGCCGTATTAATCACTGGTGGTACAGAGACGCATCAGTGAGAGACTCCTGCAGGATTCACATAGATATTTGTGTAGGGATGTGCAAAACATTTTAAAAATCAACTAGTTAGAGAATTTCCTTAACAACTAGCAGCCTTAAGGAAGGCTGGTATAATCATGCTAGTTTCAGACTCACCAGACCAGAACTGGAAAGGTTTAGGGGCATTTACATAAGATACACTCATATTCAAAAACAGAAAAACGAAGCAGAATGCAAAAGTCCTGAAATGCATGCTAGACTTAGATTATTTCCAAGTTTATGTAATGCTCCAAAGAATCAAAAAATAAATACAATTTATTAAATTTGAAAAATAGAAAAACCAAGAGCAACGTAACAATGCAAGTCTTGAGATGCATGCTATTTTTGCTCTAAAGAATAAAAAAAATTAATGAATAAACATTTAAATAATAATAGTTTACAATAAGGTTCCATTTGTTGACATGAACTAACAATAAAAAAAAAATTATATTGTATATAAATTTAACTAAAGGATTTATTAAACAATGCTAAAGTCTCAAGTTGGACTATTTGATTTGATGCAATGCTCTAAAGCAATAAGGTTCCATTTGTTAACATTACCTTCAGCATTTATTAATCTTCGTTAAATGTCAATTTCAACATTTATCAACACATTACTAAAATTTGAAGTATCTTTTAACAATATTTAATGGACCTGAGTTAATATGTAATAACAATGAATGAACAGTAGTATTTTTTATTAATTAAGGTTAACAAAGATTAATAAATACTGTAATAAATGCTTTGCTCATTTTTAGTTAATGCATTCATTAATGGGACCTTATTTATAAAGGGTTTCCAAAAATTATTTTGACCAGTTGCCTATTGGACAACTACTCTTAGCACTGTGGCCAATCTCTAGTGTTGTGTTGTTATTACCTGACGTTATCTTCTGGTTCCGGTTCACTGTCACTGTCCTCTGCTTTACGTTTCACACCACGACTATCCACATCGTCACTGCCTCCAGCAGAACTCTGAGAGGAAGGACACACTAAATCAATGACAGTCATATTCTGAGGTCACAGAGAGTGTCAAAGCTAAAGCATAAAGCAGTTAAACAACAACAACATTTTACAAAGAGCAGGAGCAAGAGAAAAAGATACATGCCTTTCCATTTCTCATCATGGCTCTCAAGGACTGAGCTGCTTCCTGAAAAATACAGAAACAACTGATTCGACCAATGTTCAACCAAAGTGACAAAATAAGCAGCAATACAGTACAGCAGAGTTCTTCCAGTAAAAATCCCATTCATGTTCTCCATAAAGAATGTGATTTTAACAACGTATGATTCTTTCACTACATAAACACATTGAAAAAGGTCAGAGGTTGATCAAACAATGACATGCTGCTGAAGAAGCCACAAGTTGGTGCAATTATGTTCAATGAATTTATTGCAGAACTTTTTAATGTTTGTGAAAGTAGTCTCTTTTGCTCATGAGGAATGCATTTATTTGAAAAAGTAAAAATATTAATATTATATTGTTCCATCATTTTTTATCCAATTACATTATTCACATTGCTTTGTAGTTCATTGCTAGAAAGGAAATTAAGTACATAATCTTTTCCATGTCTAGGGAGAAGACGAAAGAGGAAAATAATTCCAGCACTAAGACTGCTGAAAAGGTGGGCGATCACTGTTGCACTCATGTTGATTTACTGTGCTTCATATTAACAAATCACAAAGACAGTGAAGGCAGACCTGATTGCGCTGATTTCCCTTCATCCTCATTTCATATGCAGTTTGTCTGGCGTTCTGCACCGCCATGGGTCTGTCTCTGCCGCCCAGAGCCTGAGGGGCAAACTGACCACCAGGGACAAACGATGGACCCTGCTCCGCCTGTGAAGAGAGCAATTCACACAACACATTCATTAGATACTTCGGTCTAGTTTTTCCATAATGAAAGTTCTACATTCAATTTCAAGACACTTAATTACTAATAAATAGTTCACGATTTTAACTTAGCAAAATATGCAAGTATATATTGCTGAATTTTATAAAAATGTATTGTAATGGCTCATATAAAATAATTTACAAAAATCTTTGTGCGCCAAAAAAAGCTATTCAGCTGTATCATCCAGTCCTGCAAATCACTACCATAAAATCGGTGTTATTCGCATGATATAAACGCACATTAATTTTGAGTAATGTATGAATTTGCAGGGCCAAGATACAAACTATTCAGCCACTGTCAGCTAAATTACCACTGCTCTACCAACATGTTTGACAAAATATCCAAGGCATTTCAACAAAAACCTTTATTTTGTGTAAAACACAGGGTTACAGCTGTCAGAAATTAGTAGGAAGTGTAGAGGCCCCTGCTTTGAATGACTTCAGCACATCTGGGGCCGCAGGATATCACTAGTTTCTCACACTCAGCTGGTGTGATCTTGGTCAACTCTTCTTCCCACTCTCTTCCATAGTTTGGTATCTGTAGTGGATTTCTTAGCCATGACTTTGTCGCCAAGGACTTTTTAGGGATTTTAATCGGGTTTAGATGAGGACACTGGGCCGGCCATTTCATTATTTCAATGTTCTTCGCTTCAATGAACTGCTTTATCCGTTTTGGTCTTTTATGAAAATTGCAGGCTGATTGGGAGATACTTGCAGGGAAGGAACCGCATGTTGCTGAAGGAGGTTCTGATAAACATTTGCAATCACTCTGTCATGTATCTGTATAAGAGGCCCAACTCCTGCTGCAGAAAACATCCCCCAAACCATGACACTTCCTCCTCCACTGACTTCTTGTGGAGTCTTTCCCCAGTTTGACGACGAACATAATGTTTCCCATCTGACAAATTAATCTTGATCTCATCACTAAAGTGAACTATGGACCAGTTCTCCTCTGTCCACACAACATGCTCCTCAGCAAAGGTGAGCTTAGCCTTTTGATTCTTTCTGCTGATGAGAGGCTTCGTCACTGCAGAGTGCATTTTCAGTACGACTTCACTTAAACGGATCCTTACCCTTCTCAGCGTTCAACTGGTGAGCAATTCCAGCTGCAGTGTTGAACCGATTCCCTATTGAGAGCCTCCGCATTATCCTGTCCACTCGTGCATATGTCTATTGTGGACGACCAGCCTTTTTGGGGGACTTGAATGAATTATTGTCTTAGTAGAGCTACAATATTCTAGAAATCACAGTTTTGGAATGACCAGCTTCTCTTGCAATGGCTGAAAGGTCATCCCTTTGGCATTCATCTGGACCGCCTCCTGTCACAGACTTTCAGTCACCTTAGAGCAGCCTGCCATTTTACAATCTCAGTGAAAATTGGAGGAATGCTGCTTGTCATCTAAGGAAATTAGCACCAGGTGCCAAATTAACAGCAATAACATGGAGGTATCTGTACGTGTTCTCTAATTTTGATCAGAGCTGTTTTTCAAATATCTCATTTAAAGTTTTTTTATTTTTTATTCTGAGCTTCAGAATACAATTAATTTTTGAAATATGCTTAAAAAAAACTGCCCTTCTACTCCTGTTAGGCTAACTTCAAATAGGACTAAGCAGTGACCTTGAAATTTAGGAAAATGTAGGTTCTCCTGTAATTTGGATCTCCACTGTATATTAAAATTTGATTTACAAATCTTTGTGCACAAAAGCTATTGAGCTATATAAACAAGTCCTACTAAATCACCGCCATAAAAATCAGTGTTATTTGCATGATAAAAAGGCACATTCATTCTGAGTGAACGCATTATTTTGCAGGGTCAAGATGCAAAATATTCAGCCACTGTCAGCTAAATTAAATGACCTTGTGAATGAATTCAACTCACCGTCTCTCAAAGGAACAGTGTTTTAAAGGAACTCTCAAAAGATGTATGCGTGTTAAACATTTCAAAAGGAATTATTGTAAAACCTCTCCACATTTTAATTGCTTCCAAAACTGTTTAGAACTCACTTTCATCCGTTTCTTCTTTTCCTTCATTCTCCGTTTAAAACTCTCCTGCAAGAAATAAAAGGCCATGATGAGCCCAATGAAGTGCACATTTCTGTATCATAATCATCGGCGTAAAGAGTCAGAGGTCACAAGCCCTCCTCTGTGCAGAGTTGACAGCAAACAACATTTATTGTGTGGCCTCACATCATCGTCTTTGCGCTTTTTGAAGATGTTGTCCTCTGCCACCCCTACGGCTTGCATAATGAGCTCGACTCGCTCGAGATTGACAAAGCCGTTTTCTGTTAAGTAGCCCTATAGAGAGAGAAAAAGAGAGCTTATTTATACATTTCTCCCTTCAATCAATTACAAATGGATAAAATCAAGTCATGCCATTGAATATAATAGATTAAAACCATTTCATGTTGACTTCAAGCATGCATGGGATATATGGACATGGAAATATTCACCCCGGTCTTATGCACAACATCTTTGTAGATGCCAACCAGACGATCAATGGCGCCCTCTCTGTTTGAAGACAAACTAGAGTCAGAACTCACTGTAGAGCACACTGAAACGACAGACTAAATAATGCAGCTTCTGTGAGTGTACCTGATCTCAAGAGACGGTAAGTGGGGCAAGAAGTCGTTTCCCACAAAGAAACACATGAACACCCAGTCGTCGACACTCCGCTCGAAGTCAAATGGGAATGGCAGGCTGGCCATTGTTAACTCCTTCTCTAGATACTGCAGAGAAATAAAAACATCATACACAGACAAACATTTTCAGATAAATATACATATTACGTTTTCCAAACATCTGAGCAACCATTCACAATACCGAAGATTTATGGCGACAAAATTTGCACATGTAAACACATCAAATTTTCCTTATAAAAATGTGAAAATCTAGTTTAAACTAATAATAATCTGACAAATTTAATGTTAAAAACATAAAACACTTTTAAAAAGGAATAATTCACCCAAAAATGAAAGTTTGCTCAAATTACTTGCCCTCAGGCTATCATGGATTATGGACTGGTATTTCGCCCAAAGCGACGGTTTAAAGTTAAAAATGTCGTATTGATCGATTTATTACAATCACGCAGCCTTTTGCATCACAAGATGTTAATTGATGGACTGGATACATGTGGATTGCTTGTGGATTATTGTGATGTTTTGTATGCTAAATTTCTCCAAATCTGTTCTGATTAAAAACAAACTCATCTACATCTTGGATGGCCTAAACCAGAGTATATTTTTAGCAAGTTTTCATTTCTGAGTGAACCATTTCTTTAAAGTTGAACAAACCTCTCGTAACACAGCCAGTCGGATGAATATGAACTCCTGTTCTGATACTGGAACTGTGTCTGCAAATTCATCATGCTGAGAGAGAACACACAAAACAAGTTCACACAAAGTTGAGGTGAAGCTCTGGGCTGATGAATGGAGAAGATGCATCTGTTACCTCGCCCTGTTTTTCTCGGGCCAGTCCCTGACAGTCTTTGATCTCGTGGCCCATCTGACCACACAGGGCGCAGGGTCTGGGTTTGTTGGGTTTGAACTCTTCTCTTATAATGGTAAAGTTGGCTTCATGTGTCGCCAAACCCAACATGATCAAATCAGCTGGGGGGGGAAAAAAAAATATAGAATTAAACCTGTAATTATAAAGTTAAGTGAACTGAATTCTTGTTTTAAAATGGCCAGTTCATAATACTTTTCAGCCAGAAAAGTTTTAGAGAATGGTGACTCCAGAAAGTACAAAGATAAAACGCTGATATTACATAAACATGCAGTCGATGTTCTTCATAAATGCAAATAATGGAAGCTTTCAGCCAGATTCATATTTTGAAGTATCTACTCTCCAGCCTAATCAAATGCAACATACATTTCCTCATTCAACCACTAAGTGGACTAATACTACAGACATAATGCTGTGCATCAGATCCCCTTATACATACTAACAAAACCAGACAGATTTAATAATTCCCTCTCAAAACCAGTCCACAACATCCATTATGCTGTGTGGCTTAAAGTCGACATGAAACTTAAGTTGTGCCAAATTTACTATTGCACTGAGACAAGTGAAACGGCTATTGAGCAAGAAGAAAAAAAAATGGAAAGGGGCATTTATAAGACCAGTAACATCCTTTAAGAAGTTCATTTTGATTTAATGTTGATATTAAAACAATGAAACATGGAAATAAGCATTTAAGGATTCACTTTCAGAAGTCTAAACTAGGTGGCCAAATTCAACATTATTAAAAAAAACCCAAAAAAAATACACTTTACCATCAGCTCCACAGAGACAGTGATGTGTGTTTGGGTCATGATTTGGCTGAGCTGGAAAAGAAAACGACCCAAAATTATATATTAGACCAGCGAAGTTCTTTGCTAGTCACATTTATTAGACATTATTAGGCTTATCCTATCGGTCACAAGAAAATGTTACATTGTTCATTTAAAACCAAACACGAAAGGAAAAGGCTTCAATTAATAAATCACAACAAATCAAAGCAATATTTCAAAAGAAGTTCTCAGCTCTACCTCTCTGTCTCCTGATGAAATCCATAATTTTATGCTCTCCTTCTCCGGGAACACTGGCATCTGACAAGAAAACCTGCAGGACAAAGTAGTTATTTATTGATTATGTCCCACAGCAGAATAAAAACTCCAAATGCTACAGTCAATTTGAGGAGTCGTATGACCTACTGTGATATTGTGCCATCCAGGGTCATTGGTCAGTCTGTCTGCGATGTAATATCGCAAACATTTGGCCAAATTATCCATGAACTCGGTCCCCTACACACAAAACAGGAAAGCTACTCATTACATCTAACAAAAACATAGACCGAGATTTCCTGCAATCCGTAAATTATAAACAAAGAAACAGAGTGGAGAACATGTAGATGATGTTTGACCTGAACATAATCAGAGGACACATAACTTCACCAAACCATCCAAAACATTTGAACACTTACAGGGGTGATACAGTTACTGTCAAAACGTTCTTTTATTTCCTCAGGTGGCAGGTAACCACCTAATAAGAGAAACATCAATTGAGTCGTGAAACTAGAACATGTGTCACAAAGACTAAATCAAATTTTAGTGCTCATTTAGTGTTAATATGCAACAAACTTTAGTGGATGCTGTGTTGGTTAAAAGTGGTGCAGCGTCTCTCACCTCTCTGAATAACTTCTTCTCTCATTTTGCTTTTCTCCTCTGTAAGCTCCGCTCCTTCTTTAGATGCCCGGAATCGTCTCGAGCGCTGCTGGTTCATTTTGGCACGAGGAGCCTACAACCAATTCAAGAATACCAATGAGCAGCACAAGAAATGGTTACTGAAACTGTCGACTACAGTGGGCACAGTTCATGAATGTACTGATAATTTAATTCCAGTGTCTTAAAGAGATTATCAATGCTCATTTTTATTCACTTGAGCCCTCAACTTGTCAATCAGGTTGGCTTTATTTTTGGAAACCCGAGTTAGAATGAGTTGATAAACTATGTACTAAGATTTTCCATCAATATCATTATCTTTGATTTGTCATGCCAGCTTCTATATTTTCAATTATATTCCAGCATATAGTCACATTATAACCTTATAATTCCCAACTAAAGAAACGTAATATAAAAAAGAAATAAAAATAACAAAATAAAAAAAAAGGGAAATATTAGTTTCTAACACTTAAAAATTGAGCTTAAAAGGCACAATATGTAATTTTCGCCACTAGAGGGTGCGTATTCAAAATAAACAGAGGCAAAGGCCTAGTTTGATGACGCCGTGACTGAGTGTGGAATCATGGGAGTCGTCGTCTTCATCAACTATTATTTCATCACAGAGTTTGCAATAATTCCCAATGGCTCACTCCTGAATTTAAGTGTATTATTAAATGAAATATCAAACAATGACCCAAAAATGCACAGAGATGCAGCAGAAATACTGAATGCACAACGTGCTGTTGTAGTTAAGCTGGTGCTTGCAGTGTCAAACAGGCCTAATAGAGATGTTATGACGGACGATACATACCACACCATCAATTGCCATGTACAGAACCCGTCTAGGCCGAACAATGTTAAAGAGACGGTCAATATATTCGAAAATGGCAACCATCATTTCATCTTCATTTTTAGGTGCTGGCCTGCAAAGTTGAAATAATGTTGTAATAAAGTCACTTAAAAACATAAATACATGAATGAGAGTATCTCACTTGTCCTCCGGATGTGTGCACGGGTGAATAATTCCATTCATGTCTAGATACAGGTTGTCAAACTCCACTTCATTTGGATTGGGTTTGCTTGTATCAACCGGGATTTTAAAGCCATTGTACTCCTTGGCCTGAAAACGAGAAGAAATGAAGATATTTACATATCCTCCTGGGACCCAGGCACAGACTTTTGTCCTCTGTAGAGGACATTATATTTTAGTGAATTTCTCTGAGACATTACATGCCACAGTTTTAAGTCTGGATGTGTACAGAGCACATTCAGGGCTTTTTAGAGATATCAAATGTTTGGAGGTTTGATCATAAACACTCTCTCTCCTTGTTCTTTAAATATGACTGATATTGACAGAATGATCAAATTTAGCACTCTTAGGGAAATATGATAATATTTTGTAATTATCATTTAAATCTGACTAATTTTCAAATTTTTGTCGTAAATAAACATCTCGTTTTTTTATTTTATTTCTTTAAATAAAATGTTAAAGGATTTCAAATCGGAATACGACTTTTTGTTACGAAACAAGGCATAATTTTCATACATGTCTTCTGTAGAGGACACCAGGACAAACGCCATGCTAAGCAGGCATTTTGGGGAGACACAACAAGAAATTATAGATCAATATTCCTATGAAATTGTGACCCTGGACCACAAAACCAGTCATAAGTAGCAAGAGTAAATTTGTAGCAATAGCCAAAAATACATTGTATGGGTCAAAATTATCGATTTTTCTTTTATGCCAAAAATCATTAGGATATTAAGTAAAGATCATGTTCCATGAAGATATTTTGTAAATTTCCTACCGTAAATATATCAAACATGTATTATCAGTAGTAATATGCATTGCTAAGGACTTCATTTGGACAACTTTAAAGGTGATTTTCTCAATATTTGGATTTTTTTGCACCCTCAGATTCCAGATTTTCAAATAGGTTATCTCGGCCAAATATTGTCTTATCCTAACAAACCATACATCAACGGAAAGCTTATTTATTCATCTTTCAGATGATGCATAAATCTCAATTTGAAACAATTGACCCTTATGACTGGTTTTGTGGTCCAGGGTCATATATAAGAAATTCTTATGAAAATGTTGCCAAGTTATTACTCCCATTATAACACTTCTTTTTTCATTATGGTTTCCCCCAAGAACACATTAATATGCAAACTACATGCAATCTATAGATCCATTGAATAAAATAGGAATACCAATTTATAGATATTTTATGCACATTAAGTAAATTACAGTAGTATATCAAATTATTCTGTTTATATCTTTCAAAGTTGAGAATCATCTTTATACAAAGTTTGGTTAAAAATAGCCTGTAACCGAAAAACTGACTAGTAAAAGAAAAAAATAAAACCTTGTTTTTGCCTATACATGCCTTTTCATGTCTATTTTATTTTTTTTAATAACTTAGTCCTGGCGTCCTCTACAAAAGGACATAGAATAAAATATCTTTTTTCAAAAAGGTTTTTTCTCTTCTTCTACATACTCTTGTTTCTCAACGGCTCTGGATCCAACCAATGTAATGACATTAAAAAAAAAAAAAAAAAAATGTACCATTTTTTTTCATGGTTCTCAGGAGGATATAGAAATATATTAAACCTAAATTATATATATTTTTGGACATCGCAGAGTCAAAACTTAGTAAACGGTCAAACTACTTCAATTCACATGGCATCACAGCCGCGTTTTGAGAAATGTTGCCGATGTGGTACTTGAATCCGTTACAATCGGCTGAAAATTTGCATAATCCTCTGTGATTGATTGGTTGGCTGTTCAAGCTGTTTCACTCAACTAGGTACCCTAAAAATGCTGTCTAGGTAACAACCTTTCAAGGTGTTTGAGACACAACCACACCTTCGCATCTCTATTTTAACCAATGAAAACTTGTATTGTCAAAAAATAAAATTAAAACCGCGTGAACTCAAACACACACAAAAACAAACTGTAATACACACCAAAATCACACCTGAGAGTCAGGACCGTAAAGCTTATCTCATTACAACCATTATTAGCATAACGAAATTATTAATCACGCAATTAATTCAACAATCAGTCAGATGCTAATGTGTCCCACCTTCTCCTCCAGACAGTGTACTATTATTGACGGATACTTCCGACTCAACCAGCGGAAAAACGCGGGGACTCCCATCTCCCGTAAAATACAGCACTTCTGAACGAAAGAGCAACTTTAAAAACGATTAAAAACAGCAAAACACGCCGAAGGATGAAACCAGCTAGCAAACACAGCGTACGCAGCTTATTTATCCCCAGCACACTGTGAGTGATTTCCGGGTCATCAGGAAGTGACGATGAATGCGCCCCGCGCTGGCTAAAAAGCGATTTGCAGCTCCAAATCAACTAACGTTACTACAAACAACAATAAAGGTGCAAATGTGTGCGTATATATACATACATACATACAAACATATCGTTTTTAAAAATTATTTATTTAAAAAAGGGTAAATAATAACTAGACAATGGAAAATTAAACTTAATTTTATTATAAATCATTATGATTAATAATGGCTCCTGATCACTAGGCCCTATAGCAAGACTTCAAAATATAAATTTAAAATGTTTTTTTAAATTAAACTTCAAAACAAATGTTTTACAGTTTTATCTTAAAGTTGTCATTGAGCACATTCAGTACAAAGATAAAAATTAAAAGAAAAAATTATATGAATAATAATACTAAAGTGTTTACTATTTAACAATCATATAGCCTAACCAGAATTTTTGTATGTAATTTATATTTTAAATGCATTTCTTTCATTACTTCAGATTTCTGTAGCTCCTTTCCAATGCAAATGTGCATCATATGACATTCTACGGAGACTTGAAGTATTCAGCTGATTTCTGTGAAGAGCTGTTTGATCTTTGGTGATGCAAATTCAGTAGTTTGTCCTTATCTTCATTTGCTCTTAAATCTTCACGTTGCGTCCATGAACCCAGCGGCTCATTGCTTGATGAAGCCTCTTGTCACACAAACATGGACACACACAAAGACACACAAACATTTACGCAATTGTGGGTGAAATGACATTCTTTGGAGAACAAAACCAATACATTTAAAAAGAACTATAATTCAGCCCTCTATACAAGCAGAGCAATAAGCAACCATTTCCCTAAACCAAAAACACATTAGATGCACTGGATCTCTTGAAAAAAAAGAGAGCGAGAGAGAGAGAGAGAGAGAGAGAGAGAGAGAGAGAGAGAGAGAGAGAAAACACTGTAGAGTGCAATCCTAGATGATTATCAATCAAATCATGTTTACAATAATAATCCAAAACCAAATCCGGTTTTGGTCTAATATCATATGTATGTAAAATCATCAATTTTTAAAGAAAGCAATAAGCATATCTATGCTCGAAGGTACTATATCTCAGCAATCCAATTGAACTGAATACGTTATTGTCATTGTACAATGTTTGTACAACGACATTCAAAGTGCAACTCCTTGTGGTAGAAAAGAAAAAAAAGTATCTAAGCCAATAATATAAGAGTGCATTCTATTTTAATTTAAACCTCTGCTACAGCTTTGTTGTCTGTGCTCAAGTGCCTGCATGTGATTCTCCAATTCGTTCCTTTCTGCATTCCCGTTTATAGTCTGACTGCTCCCTTGTGGTGGATTGTGGGATTTCAGATGACCTTTTCTTCAATTACTGAGCCTCTTTATTTTTTTATTAGGGCCTGTACTGACTCATCATTTGCTACAGAGCTCTAATGAATCGAGATGAGGATGTTCCTTCATTAAAAATAAACAGAGCAAACGAAACATATTGAAACTGAATCCTCTGATGCTCACAAATACAATGAAAACATAAATTAAAAGGAATAGTTCATGCAAAAATAAAAAAATTGCTCAAAATGTACTCACCTGCAGTCTAGCCAAAATGTAAATGAGTTTGTTTCTTCATAGGAACAGATTTATCACTTGCTCAGCAATGGACCCTCTGCAGTGAATGGGTGCCGTCAGAATGAGACTCCAAACAGCTGACAAAAACATCAAAATATTTGTTTAGAACTGTTTTGGACTTATTTTGCTTATAAACAGTGGTTGATTTGTGCACATAATTTCTCCTGATTCAGATGAGACGACTTTTTCACCGGAGAAAGCAATATTATGTATAGAGGATGCAACAATTTTAAGTTAAAAATGTCTTAATGATGGATTTGCTTCTTATAAACACATGCAGCTTTTCAGTTCACAAGACATTAACGTATGGACTGCAGTGGCATGGATTATTGTGATTTTCTTATCAGCTGTTTGGACTCTTATTTTCACGGCACCCATTCACTGCAGCGGATCCATTGGTGAGCAAGTGAAATAATTCTACGTTTCTCCAAATCTACTCCAATGTAGAAATTGTATGGCTTGAGGGTGAGTAAATTTTCATCAAATTTCAATTTTTTTGGGTGAACTATTCCATTGATGAAAGCACTTAATAAATGTATAAAACATTTGCATGCAAACAAAATGCATTGCATGAAAAACGTTCCTCTTCAAAGATAAAATAAAATTCATATGCAAGAAAACATGAAAAGGGGAAAAGCAGCTTTATTTTATTAATGTTAAACTAGTTTTGTTGTTCTCCAGCTGACAAGTGCTTCGAGCCCCTGTAAAACCAGAAAGTCAGACTTACCTTAAACTATTTTGGTGTCCACTTTGTTTTAGGTTTAATCTTGTTTTTATCTCCTGCACGGGTTTGGGCATGAATATGTTTCTGTAATAACTCTGTATTCATTTTTACTGCAAAAAAGCATTGTAAAAGTGTACAAAATAAAATGACAATGAAACGACCTAAAAAACACACACAAAATATAAAAAACACATTAAAATAAATCATCAGTTCACTACACGTTTCTGACTTAAGATGTACTGTAGGTGTGCAGGTTAGTATGTCATTCCAGAGAGCTACAAATATTACGCCTTGAAGAACAGCGTCCTCTGCTGGACAACAGCACTTTTCTTGATGTCCTATCCTATTTAAATGTTCAATTTGAATTTACTTGCTTGTTTAATGTCTATTTATGTATTTTCATTTGCCATTGTCAAAGACAAATCTTATTCTATAACAAATTGAGTAGATAATAAAGCATAACGCATGTTTGCAATAGTTGTACCCTGTAATAGATCACATCTTTTCTGATGTTTGACCAAGCACCTTTAGAGCAATAAAAAAGTAAATAAACAAAGCACATTTATAATGTACATAAAAGAAACTGTAAACAGAAAATTTTCTGAATTCAATTAAGCGAACCAATAAAGTCATTTAACACTCGGCTAAATGTGCCACATTTGGATTTACAGCTTGTGCAGTGCACTTTTCAATTTCACAATCCATTTTCTATTTTTCCATTGCATCCTTCACAAATGTTAAGATTACGTTGGTGCATCAAATTTCTTTAAACCAATGCAATGAAATAAAAGATGTCAATGGCAAATGTGCAAACAGTTGCTCTTTTGTGGAGGACCCAGTAAATTATTCCTCATGTTTTATTGGCATTATTCCCATTATTATTATTATTCAGGGCAAGACAAAGTGTTTTGGCCTTTCAATGGAGTACCGGGTTTGACCAATGAGGATTCACTCGCACATCTCATTCTGGATTCATAACATGAAACCTGACAACAATACATCTCTCAAAGGCTCCTGAATGGACAACTCACATAAACAACCACAGACCAATTACTTAATGAACTGGGCTAACACATAACAAGCTTCCTTACAAATGAGCATACATGCATTTAAGCAGCTGCAGTTGCACAAATGGACCTCTGTGGTTAGAAATAGAGGTTTATTACATTATAAAATAAGGCAATTCAACAGGTATCCCAGTTTAATATGCAAAAAAGGTCTAAATGGTGCTGAATTATCATGCAAAATGTAATTTCATATTTGATTTTGGTGTGAAATATGACTTGGACATATTCTTGGCATGTTCTGTGAGATGTTTCAACCCCTGGTAAAAACTCACACAGAGACTGAGTGAGTGAGAATGACTTGTTATTTCTCAAATATCCTCTTCTTTCTCTTTTGTGTATTTACAAGTTGGAATGCACACACACATGAAAAGCTCAATCTCAATTCACTAAAGGATCATTTTATGCACCCAAGGCTGAGAGCGGGCCTTGAACCGTGGGCCTGGTTCTGAATGTCTTAGAAAAGAATTCAATGGAGTACCGGGTTTGACCAATGAGGATTCACTCGCACATCTCATTCTGGATTCATAACATGAAACCTGACAACAATACATCTCTCAAAGGCTCCTGAATGGACAACTCACATAAACAACCACAGACCAATTACTTAATGAACTGGGCTAACACATAACAAGCTTCCTTACAAATGAGCATACATGCATTTAAGCAGCAGCAGTTGCACAAATGGACCTCTGTGGTTAGAAATAGAGGTTTATTACATTATAAAATAAGGCAATTCAACAGGCATCCCAGTTTAATATGCAAAAAAGGTCTAAATGGTGCTGAATTATCATGCAAAATGTAATTTCATATTTGATTTTGGTGTGAAATATGACTTGGACATATTCTTGGCATGTTCTGTGAGATGTTTCAACCCCTGGTAAAAACTGCATAACTGCAAAAAACACACACAGAGACTGAGTGAGTGAGAATGACTTGTTATTTCTCAAATATCCTCTTCTTTCTCTTTTGTGCATTTACAAGTTGGAATGCACACACACATGAAAAGCTCAATCTCAATTCACTAAAGGATCATTTTATGCACCCAAGGCTGAGAGCGGGCCTTGAACCGTGGGCCTGGTTCTGAATGTCTTAGAAAAGAAAAAGGTCTAAATGGTGCTGAATTATCATGCAAAATGTAATTTCATATTTGATTTTGGTGTGAAATATGACTTGGACATATTCTTGGCATGTTCTGTGAGATGTTTCAACCCCTGGTAAAAACTCACACAGAGACTGAGTGAGTGAGAATGACTTGTTATTTCTCAAATATCCTCTTCTTTCTCTTTTGTGTATTTACAAGTTGGAATGCACACACACATGAAAAGCTCAATCTCAATTCACTAAAGGATCATTTTATGCACCCAAGGCTGAGAGCGGGCCTTGAACCGTGGGCCTGGTTCTGAATGTCTTAGAAAAGAAACGCACTCAAGATGGTTTTGTTTAAAAAACCACAATGAAAAGAAATCCTGCCCAACACAACTGACATTCATATGCCATCACAATTAGCATCTTCTAGCTGGATTTTGCACTAGCACATTATAAGTATGTTAAATTGATGACTGAAATAGGAACTTGCATCA